TTCATATAAAAGCAACAGAACTGAAATTATATCAGGTTTATTAGCAACACAGCACGTGAGTGTAAATAACGCGATATCTGCCTTTGATCTCGTTGGTATCTGTTCCCTTCCAGAGGGCAGAACTGTCCGTATTGACTGCGCTTATTTCACTCCTCCCCTCACTGCAGCCGCCTACTCTCACCAACATTTCAGGCGAGGCGAGGCGCATCTCAAACAAGCCTATTATTTCACGAGTGCTGTAGAGAAGCAGAGCAGACGGCTCCTTATGCTTTTAAATAGCTCTTGCTGTACTTTGGTGTCATACAATAGGCTTGTTTGGCGGATATCGCGTTATTTACACTCACGTGCTGTGTTGCTAATACGAGGTGTCCCCCCCACTTTTAATATCACGTAAATTCGTCCCCCGCACTTTTTCGGGCAAGTGTGTTTGCATAGAGGTTTTCAAGAGCCGGTGTGAATAAATATAGATTTAAATTCAAAGAGACAGGAGAGTCTGTGCATGATCTGATGTTTTATTCGGACACAGAATAAGCCGAGATGAACATCGCGGAGGGCAAAACACTCCATGCAGTGTATGTTTCATTCATACTCAAATGAAGACTTTATTGCGACAATATGGTTTATTTGTGTTTGTCAAGTCATCTCCAGGTAATAAATAAAGTATATAAAGTATAAAAGGTGACTTGACAGTGTTGTTTTGGTAGGAGTAACGACAGCTGTAGCTGCCCTGATGTGAGACGTCTACATTAACAAGGTTGAAAGTCACACTAGATACATGTGTCTGGGAGGATATAGATGATCCGTTCATGAAGAGCTGGAATTTAGCATTAGCATTGCATCTTGGTTTAGGTGTTGTGCAACTGAACTGGATATGTTCTCCAGGAGAAACAGCTGCATGTGTGGAGGTCAGGGAAAGAGTCGGCATCTGCAGCTCACCTGCAAAATAAATGTTTATTTTAAATAATTGGTTAAGACATAATGTAATGTAAGCACGACATTCATGACGCTTAATGTAATTTTTGTTGGCTATTCCCCCCAAAATAATGTGTGAAGATGTTAAAGATTTGGCTTACCTGAACAAACAACACCAGCATCTTCACCATGTTTACAGTTATGTTTTCCTAGTCCACTGTGTGAACATTGTGTGAGGGCTCCTTCACTTCCTGAGCATTCAACATCATCCAGCCAGATCGATCCACTGCCTTGACTAAAGGCGGCTCCATGAGGTGCACTGATGGCTGATCCACACTGTGACTGTCTGCACACCACAGCAGCATCATTCATGTCCCAGTTATCATCACACACGGTTCCCCACTGGCCATTATAACGGATCTCCACTCTCCCACAGCATGAATCAAACCCACGGACCAACCTTATGTCTAGTACTTGGCATTAAAATGAAAGTACAATGTGATCAAAACATTTTTATTTTTGGCATGTTGTAAGTATTTTGTATGTGTTTGACGTTGGGAGCAAACCACCAAACATGCGTAGCCTCTGCTATTTTCACAAGTTTTCTTAAAGTTTATGTTGTTTTAATTGCAGTAGTATTATTTTTATTACAAGCAAGTAGCACATTTTCAAAACACCTCAAATTTTTAGACAACTAAATATGCTGGTAAAAAAATTTAACACAAGAAAATGCTGCACAAAATATCAAGGTGAACAGCAAAAGCATAATTTGAAAACATACGTACTTTTACCTAAGCAGACGACACCTGCATCTTCATGATGACCACAGTTATGTGTTCCAATAGAAGGATGTGAGCACTGTGCGAGCAATGATTCACTTCCTGAACATCCCACATCATCCAACCAGATCTGACCACTACCCTGGCTAAAATTAGCACTGCCACGTGCACTAACAGCTGTTCCATATCCCAGCTGTCTGCACACCACAGCAGCATCATTCATGTCCCAGTCATCATCACACACTGTCCCCCATGTGCCATTATACAGGATCTCAACTCTTCCAGAGCAGTCATTTGTATCATTCACCAGTCTGATACTATAATTACCTAAAAAACAACATAACTCCATTATGATACAATTCACATCTTACAACAGGCTAAACTTGTAGACTAGCTAATACAGTGACTGGTTATGTCATGATGCAGCTAGAATAAACTCTGTTTTAAAAATGAGTGACTAACAGTCTGTTACTCACCAGTTACAGAAGTCAGAGCACTGGCTGTTGAGATGAAAAACAGTGACAATTAAACATATTGTAGACTTACAATTAGATATGATTTACCAAATAAAATCTTTTTAAAACTTCTTGTCTCAAACCGATCTCATGTTAATGAGTACTAATGTAGCCTAGTACTGCCCTGAGTAAGCTATTTTACGTAACAGATGTTTATGAAGTCCACAAGACCCAATAATATCTGAATTAAAAAAATGAACCAGATCAATTTTACAACTGCTTTATTCTTAATACTGTGTATTCTTACCTGCTTATATGTGATGCACGCCAGAGAAATACTCTGCACAAAGTCTCTAATTTGCACATATCACTATTAAAAAAAAATACACTGACTCTGATTCAGTGTCACTGCCTCATAGACAGAATTCTAATGAATTAAATTCATCAGAATTCCGTCTGAGGCAGTGACACTGAATCAGTTCCATGTGTACAATAGCATGCGTGGGCAGCATTTCCCCAAAAAATCATAAGCCTGGATACCAATGAGCGTATGAGGGAGACTCAGCCCTGAGCTGTGATGTTGTGAAAGGCCAACACTGTGACTGTGACTGTGATATAGTGATACTGGCGGGAATGAGCTGTGGTTCTGTTGTCAGCTGCAGGCCTGTTCTTCCTCCAAACTTACAGTGTAAAAACTCTGGGGTCTAGATGAGCATGAAAATGTTTATAGCCACTGAACAATGTGTAAACATAATGACTGTGTATCCGCATTCAGGTGTGAGAAGTTATAGAAAAATATTGTTAGAACTATTTTAAATCATTTTAGTTTACTGAACAGCTCATTTTCATGAAGCAGCTTAAAGTTGTTCAGACCAAACAACTTGTTGGCGAATGTCTTTTAAAAATTCAAAATCATATCATCCCAAACATACAGATATATCAACATGTATCAGTTTACTTTCTGGTATTAGCAAATAGTTTCAGTTCAGTTTGAAATTAGTTCAGTTCAGTGTAACAGCTCAGTGAAAGTCTGAGAAACAACAACGCAATGATAAAAAGATTGCACAACCAACCATTTAAATCATAGTCTTTAACTAAACTGTTTTAAGGATGAAATATTATTGTGATAATAACATTGCAACGTGCAGTGATATAGGAAGACTATAGTCAATTATATTTTCATCTTTAATCTCCATCTGTTATGAAAAATAGAAAATGCAAGAATTAAAAATTGAGTTTACCCAATATCAAAGTGAGAAGAGAAGGTCTTGGCATTGCGATGCTTGCGTTCTTTCAAAATGTGCATGAATTAAAATGTTACTTCCTGATTAGTGAGAAGAGCTGATGATGCTTTGGTAAGAACAGAAACGTACACTATGTGTATGTTAGGAACTGTTCATCAGTCTATTGCCCCTAAACTGGACACACCATAAATAGTTTTTATATAAGTGATAGTAATGATGTGACCCTAACTGTTTTTATCTGGAGTTCAGGAATGGTTCTGGTTCTGGTTCTGGTTCAGGTTCAGGTGTAGCCAACCCTGCTCCTGGAGGACTCCCATCCTGCGGTTTAGCTCCAACTCTAATCAAACCAGCTAATCTAGATGTTCATGAATTATACGTGACCCTGGAGCACAAAACCGGTCTTAAGTCGCTGGGGTATATTTTTAGCAATAGCCAAAAAAACATTGTATGGGTCAAAATTATCGCTTTTTCTTTTATGCCAAAAATCATTAGGATATTAAGTAAAGATCATGTTCCATGAAGATATTTTGTAAATTTCCCACCGCAAATATATCAAAACTTAATTTTTGATTAGTAATATGCATAGCTAAGGACTTCAAATTTCCCACCGCAAATATATCAAAACTTAATTTTTGATTAGTAATATGCATTGCTAAGAACTTCATTTTGACAAATTTAAAGGTGATTTTCTCAGTATTTTGATTTTTTTGTACCCTCAGATTCCAGATTTTCAAATAGTTGTATCTCGGCCAAATATCGTCCTATCCTAACAAACCATAAATCAACGGAACGCTTATTTATTCAGCTTTCAGATTATGTATAAATCTCAATTTCTCGAAATTGACCCTTATGACTGGTTTTGTGGTCCAGGGTCACATATGGATTGCATGAAAATAACAGGCATGTGTGTGCTAAAGAAGAGCTGGAACTGAAGTCTTCAGGAAGGGAGCAGGGTTTGGCACTGCTGCTCTAATTTACATTAATCAGCTCTTTCCAGATGCTGCAACTACAGCACTATTGTGTGGTAAAATGCATGTTTCTTCATTGATGGAAAATGTGATAAAACTAATGTCCCACACAAAATGTTGTCTTTTTTTTTAATCTGTAAAAAATGACACTACTGCATATTTATGACTACTGCATATCAAGTGGTTTCTGCAACAAAAGTGAAAGAGTTACTATAAACCATATATGCTCAAATGTATAGTACTTGGAAATGGGCTTTAAGTTTAGCATTTAATGTGAAATCATGCTGAATTTGTGGTATTGATTCTGAGAATAGCTCTGTTTTCTTTTTTCTTTTTTTTTAACGCGGATAAAGCTGTGAGAAAAATTTGAGGAAGTGTCATTTTGTAGATGCAAAGATGAAATCTCATCATTGTACAGAGTACAAGCAGATGTGAAGCTGTTTGTTTAAACTTAAAATTAATTAGGTACTGTGGTGTTTTTGACTATAAACCGCTGAGCAGTCGTTATGGAAGGCAGATAGCACACACTGACAATAAACCCCCTTAAATAGAAATTAATAATTAAATAGCTTTCATAAACCTTCATAGTTATTGCCCAGTGTACTTCGGTATTCTGTAAGTTCGACATTGACATAGTCTTTTTCTGAATCGTCTGTTTCCACATTGATGTAGTCTGGTTCAGAGTCATCCTGATCTACATTAATATAATCCTGATCAGAGTCAGTGTTTACATCTTCATGATCACCATCATCCATATCTACAAGCTCATAGTCATCCTCAGCGTTCTCTTCATTCTGGTTATTATGGAGCACATCTTGCATATTGTAATCCAAAGTACATTGAAAAAAAAAGTGTTTTGCTATTGTGGAAAGATGTTTAAGAATAAATATTTGCAGGCATCCAAAATATAGGTAATGCAAATTATGTAAATCATTCTCACAGTATTAATAAGGAGCATATTTAATTTTTTCTCCTCCTCAATTAGAAAATGATATAATTTATGTATTTCACTATTCTCTTTCAGGGAGAACGGCTCAGTATTATTTTATGTTCACAGGATTTCAGTGGTGCTTCTATATATTGACATCAAATTGCTCTTTGTAAATGATAACAGGAAGTTTTATGACTCTTTTTAGAAATGATGCTGTGTGTGACCACTAAAAGCTCTGAAAAAATACCTGCTACCCTCCTGTACATGCCACAACCTCCTGAACATGCTAGTCAGTTAGCACTAAACTTTTATTTGTGCAAAAAATGAGCTGCCTGTCAGCTGACTTTGGTCTTCTTTACACAAGTTGTTTCTTTAAATGAGACTGCTTGAAATGTCCTCAAGGCTGCATATTTTTGTTTATCTGATTGCTATTTGCAATGTTTCATTTTCTTAAATTCACCTGGGAATGGAGACATGCTTTCAGTATCAGAAGAGACATATGGAGACAGCAGTTATCCGCTGACCCATCCAGGCAATGACAAGGATACAGAGCAACAGATTGACAGTGTTGCCAGTATAATGGTGTGCACATTAGAGAAGTGAAAGATGCACTGCAGTCACATTTACCAATGAAGCATTGGTCTGCTCTTTACTTCTCAAAATAGGCAACAGTTTAGTGCTGAACAACACTGCAGTGCGGCTGATAGTACACTTGGGTGTCAGAGAGAAAGAAGGTGGCGTTGTTGAACAGGAAGATGCCATCGTGGGAAGACATTTTCAGTGAACCAAGACGTTATATGGCCACTTTTTCATGCATGGCAGCAATTTACTAACGTTTCCCCCATTTTTTATCAGCCCGCAAAGCCATTGGAAATTGTCCACCTTATGTTCATGTATTAAATTAACAATCAAGCCACAAATGCGTTTGTACAAGACTACTACCACACAAATTAGTGTACTTCACAGTGTATATTATTAATCAGTTGTGGAGCCGTTCATTATTATTCATTTTATGCATTTATTTAATCTAGGTTTAGAAATTGATTGCGATAAAGCTAAAAATAAGTCTATCCTATAATATTACTCATAACTGTACTAAATTTGGTTGTAATTTTGCAGAAACAATGCACAAAACAGATACATAATATTCTGATATGGGGGAAAAAAAAAATCTCACGTTTCAGAGTGTGACATCTAAACACAAACTGTGTTGATGTGGTCAGACCCCGAGAATATTTTAAATTCTCAAAGAAACAAGGAAACCACAGCTTTGTGGGGGAGAGAGGGAAAAAAAATAAAATAAATAAAATTCACAAAAACCCAGCATGGTCAGAAACACACAAAACAGAAGTCTTTATTAAACATTACTTTTATGATCACCTGAAACAACAGAAACATTTTTGTGCGTTTGACTGTATAACAACTGTTAAAGCAGTACAGGGTTTGTGCTGTACATCGTGTAGATCTAGAGGCCCATGGAGGTCTGTGACGCAGTATGGCTCAAAAGCGGTGAACCTTTGAATGCAGAATGAAATGAAACGGACAGTACCGAGCGACTGAATAGACTCGAGCTCTGTGCATGTCGTGTGCATAGTTGCAGTGAAATGGTTCACACTCCACCCTCAGGGGAACATGTTAAAGAGGAAGTCATTTCGACACACCGCACTGTTCAAAGGTTCGTGACAACAGGTTCAGCAGACGTGATGCAGAGGCAGAGCTGTTGTAAACTGGTACAATAATGATATGCTGACACTGATCCACCAGAACTGGATTGTATGGAGCTTCCTAAACGCATTCATTTTATCGAGCTATTGTTTTATTTAAAGGGACAATTCTGCCAAAAATGAAAAAACAAACAAACATGTTATTCCAAACCTGTATGACTGACTTTCTTGTGCAGAACACACACACAATAGAAAGTACATATGGTTAGGAATAAAATGAGGAGTTAATAATGACAAAATGTCTCTGGTAGTTCAGATAAGACTAATTTCATTTAAAACAAAAGAATGCTACATTATCAGAAACATCGATACAAGGTCTTACCTTAAAGCATTTCTAGGCAACCATAATTGTGAAATCAATACTTATTTGATGCTTTTAGACCTAAAAAACGAGGCTAGCGGTCTCATAAACCCAGATGTCTGGCGCGGATCAGTGTGTGTTACAGAGGCAGAGTTTTTTGTGAGCTTTACTTAAAGTGATTGTCACACAGAGGCAGTGTTGTTGTTGACAATTGTTCAATGATTGTTGCAGGAGAGCAGAGGCAGTGATGTTGTAAGGTACAGAGGAGAAGGATGCGGCGGTGGAAGCATCTCAGCACACACGTGACGGATGATTAGAAACAAATCTACCACAATCTGAGGTGCAGGCAAAAAAGGCATGACGTTCTGTTTTAAATGCTCAGTTACAACATTCTCAATACTTTTGAAATGACGTGTTTTTCTTGTGGGCGCTAAAAATACATCTTGTATTCTTTGTGAGTCATTATGTTTGGAAACCTCTTTTTTATTTTATAATCTGCTAATACTGTGTAGAGGGGGTCTCTGTCTTTTGACAGTTGACAATTACAAAAATTAAGAAACAATATTAAAAAGATACACATTACACAAAGGCATTTACCGCTCTGAGATCTCAAACACATCATCATAATCACAAGCTGCTTGTTTACATGAGATCCTTCATTTCTTTGCCACAACTGCCAAGTTGATCATTGTGAATACGTCTCCAAATCATTTCCTCACTGAACAAAATCGCATGATTTTCAGTGCTAGTGTGACGTGCCCTTGTGCATGACGTGAACAGGACTGTCTTGGAGTAAACATAACAGTGGGTCGACCATAACCGTGTTTAACTCTTGAGAAAAGTGAGAGAGAAAAGATAAGAACTGTTCTGCATTTCACCTAAGACACAAAATTCAAATCTCATTTTTTTCTGTCAATATAGATTTCATATATTCATATATCCTTTTGTAAGAAAACAAAGAACCAAAACAGCTGGAAAGATCAAAATGTCCCTGACTTGTGGACATTTGACGTCCTAATGTCCTTTAGCTTGCTTTTAAGGGATTGAAATGTATAACGTCACAGGCTCAAGAGAAAGCGTCCCTCAGACGAGAAGGAGAGCTTATCTGGGCCTTCACAGTTTGTGTGATGGGAGCAGAGCTGGGAAGACACAGAAAAGAGCCGCTTCTGCACACACGGGGCGTTTGTTCTGCCGTCTTCATAGATCACCGCCACGTGAAAAGCTGCAGGGTTCTGGTAGTCACTGAATCACTGGTGGTTTTAATGACAGCGTGAGTTTTGAGCAGGCTCGGCCTGTGTGTAACTCAATTGGTCTTCAGCTAATGAAAGCCGGCCAGATTAACTGTTCGGGTCCGGTCAGCCCAGATCAAAGTCTACCGGAATTCCGGTTTCTGGCGCTGGTCGGCTGTGGCTTATTTCTGGTTTGGAACCAGTTTCGTTCCGTACGGAGCCCTGTTTGGGGGTGAGACTCAGGGGGAGTGAGCTGAGGGGCTGCTGTGTGCCGAGCTGGGAGACAAACTGGGGCTGCAGCTTCCTGGTGGCGCTCCTTTTCCTCCTCCTCTCGCCCCCCCGCCACCCTCCAGACCCTCCGAATTCTCCAGCATCTCCTGAATGAGTGGAGGCATGGAGCCGGGAATCTCCATTTTCAGCGTTATTACTCGCTCGGCTCCTGATTGAGAAATACAAAAAAATTATGTTAGAATGGATTCTGGTTGATTCAGGCTTGATGTTCAAAGAGTGACTGTGAATGTCACCTTTAGCGCTGATGCTCCTCAGGTCTGTGATCTTCATCAGCATCTTGGGGAACATGTGTGGTTTATGAGGCCTCCTCTTTCTCACGTAGATCTTTAGGGCCTCCAGCAGCGGCTCCTGAAGCACATCCACCTTATCCGACTGCTCCAGATCCTGCCGATCTGAGCACAAGTGCACCGTGTTTTATAACATCAGCTAACAAAGAGTGACAAGCATAAACTTTCTAGAACTCATTAAATTGTTCTTGTTTTAAATGATATTCAAAACACTTTCTAAATGGAAGAAAATTATTACTATTAAATGGTAATTTCAGCTGGCAAATTATAAATAGAAGATAAATTATTTAGATTATTAAGATTATTCAGTTATTTATTATTAAAAATTACTATTAAAAAGCTGAAAACCCCAAACAAATAGTTTGTGAATAAATAATTTGATATTAAATATAATTTTAAAAGGCAGATAAATCTCTCTCTCTCTCTCTATATATATATATATAAAAAAACTAAAACCAACATTGTCAAATTGATATCAAATTGAAAAACAAAAATACAAACAACAATAAAAAGGCCAACATTGGATGATATAATTTGGTACACAAGTCAGGGCTGTCAAATAAAAATTTGAATTTCAAATATTCGTCTAATTTAAGATACAAATCCACATTAGGCTAACAGCCTATACGCTAACAAAAAATTAAATAGGCTAACAAAACACGTTTCGTGCGCCACTGATAAGGCGGCCTGACGGACACCTAAAAATTGAATGCAATTTTAATTATTATTCAATGTTTTTGCATTCGAATTTTAGGTGTGCGTCAGGCAGCCTTATCAGTGGCACACGAAACGCAATGACGATGCAAGTGTTGTTGCTTTTTAATGTTTGGTTATGCTGTGTTGTTCATTCAAAATATTGTGGAAAAAGAGAGCATCAATACGGAGATGATGTTGTTTATGTCAAAACTAAAACCAAGCCATTCACACAGAACACATATTTTGCACATTTTCTAGAAGGACGTGTATCATCGTTGCACTCGCGTCTCGCACGAGAGAGCCGCATGTTTAGAAAGCCATGTAAAATTAAAGTTGAACATTTAAAAAAACATGTCTTGAGACGTTTTTTCCCCATCCCACTGCATCTCATGTTTTTAAATGAAAAAAGTACTCTGTGATTGACTTTTGTCCTTTTGTATTAACCCTTAAAGACCAAGAACATTTTTGGGGCACCTGACACGTCTGCACTTTTCTTTGTTTTTTCAGACCTATTCTAGCAGTCAGCATCAAGTTTCATATATCATTATAAACAAGAGAACTTGAAGTTTCAGTCTAGCTAATTTAAAGTCCCAATTTTCCTTTTGTTTTCTCTAAGAATGAATGAACTTCCAGAATTTTAAGGAAAACGCAAGCAACAATTGGCTGTTTTTTACGGTGTACTCAAACAGATACTCCTGAAGTTGGATTTTTTTTTCTTTAGAAAGTTGTATCTGGGTGTTTTACACTTCCAAATAAATTTTTTTTCTACATATAACATTCTCCAAGCAAGTTATAGCCATTTATCACAATATTGTTATAGGCTCTTTTAAATGAAAAACAGGTCTATTTAGTTTACTAACAATATAGATGTGCCCAAAAACGTTTAGGGAGTAAAGAAAAAGGAAACAGTGTTACATAATAACAAAACAGCGTAAAAAAAAATTATTTTTTGTTTTCAGAGAAATATTTTCAATCTCAGTATGAACAACAAACACAAACAGTGCAGCTATTTAGTGAAAACAATTGCACAAATTGTCTTCTGCAACAATAATACTGTTTTTTACAGTATAAAAAACAAAAAAACAAACAAAAAAACAAATTATTCACAAACTACACACAAAATCAGTGAGAAATTTACAGAGTGCAACAGAAAAAAAATTGTGCAAATGATCTTTATGAGCTATATAAGAATTATTTACATAATATAAATGGATCGATCCGGTGGCTGTATCTGTATCGGAATCGATTTTACCGGGACATCGCCTAGCGACACGAATACCTAAATTCCAGTGCTTTATCCAATATGTACCGCTGTTTCATCCTTGTTTTTGGTTTGTTTTATGTCAAAGTACTCTATTGTGTGTTTTTATGTGCTTTTCAGAGTTCTCTCATGCAAATGTGTTATTTTGTGTTTGTTTTCATGCACGCACGCACGACAGACTTTACTTTCACTTTGCGTTTGTTCAAATGTCCAAAGAAACAAGCTAGTTGGTGGTTCAAAAGATCAAAACCTATGTTTATTGGTTGAATATGGGACAGTTTTAACCAATCTTGGCACAGGGGTGGGACTAAGCATCAACAATCATTCCTGTTTGGCTCAGAGGAACGAAATGCATTGGTTTCTTCTGACGAATCAACGTTGTCAAAATGCGATGACGTAATCACGTACACTACGGAGCCTCTGAATATGCAAATGAGAAATGTGATACCTCCGAAAAGCGGAGAATCTCCGTTTTACGACACTTTTTAAAGCATTCAGTTTGGATTAGCGGTTCAAAAGTTATTAATCATTTAAGAGCAATAGTTATTTTTAGCCGCGGGCGGCTGTCTCTGTCTTTGAGGGTTAAACTATGCATACATGACGCTGTTTTGTTTATAATTGTTTAAGCAACCTAATTATATTTGGTTTATAAACATTATGCTCTTTTTCACAGATAGTCATGTTATTTTATTGCTTTAATAAAAGTGCATTAGTAATAGTTTGCTCGATATGCCCTCTTGTGGCCTCAGGAGAGAAGCCAAAGTGCATCTGACTGGATTTGGTTCAAAAAGCTGCAGTACCTCCACACAGCAGACAGATGGCGCTGAGAAGCCCCGTCTCTGCATCATCCATCTCAAGAGGCAGGAGCTGGTTGGCGAAAGCGAAAACCAGATCCGTCAGTGGACCGAAGCCGGCGTTGTGCATCTGCGTGCGGTTCAGTGTCAGACCGTCTGAAAACGTCATGGTGTCCTGATCCGGTGTGTAGCGTGTACATATTCGCAGAATCTGTAGACGAGAATGAAAGACACAGGTAAGTTCACACTTCTGAAATGTATCTATTCATGCACTATTTTAGACACAAGAACACATGTAAGTGTGTTGTGCTCTTACCAGGATGTCGAGACAGGCGGCCTTTAACAGGGTGATCTGATCTGCGATAGTGAGTGTGGTGAAGCCCGGCAGCTGCTTGGCGAACTCCACCGTTTTAATAATGCATTTGGTGGAGAGTTCACTGAACTTGTCCCACAGGTCAACATCTAGAGCGACCCTCTGTTCTGCACTGTTGTTCTGTTCGAGGACAGAGACAATGTTTGCTTAGTTTGTGATAGGCATGGGCAGGTATGAGATTTTGACGGTATGATAACCTTAAGCAAAAATATCACGGTTTCACGGTATCACGGTATTGTCGTTACAGCTCTAAAATGTGTTTTTAAATGACAGGGTAAAAAAAAAACAATTTTTTTCTGCTGAACACAATATATTTTGTTTTTGAGCAACATACAGAATATTAGGAACAGTAGAATTTTATTTTTTCTGTTATTTTTTCTTTGATTTGTTTCCTAAAAAGAACAAAAATAAAGACTGACATCTTTATTTAACCTAAATCTGTAATCACAGTTATTTCATTTTAGTTATATAATTCATATACATATCATTTAATTCATTCCATATCATTTAGTTATCATTTCATATACATAATTTGATTTAATAATAACAACCCAAATTGAAGCAAAAACAGAATGTTCTGACTAGCTTTGTGAAATTATACTACATGCCTAAACGAAACAAACAGCAGATGCTCTGAATGAGAGGCAGATTCACTCTCTGACAGCAGGAGGCGCTTCTAGAACACCACATACGATTAGCGGTTTTGAAACAGTGAAATTTTCAAATAGCGGTATACCTTGAAACCGGTAATCGGCCCATGCCTAGTTTGTGATTTATTTACCTACAATTCCAAAATGGATATAGGGCCTAACTGTTCAGAGCTGCTTTTCCTCTGACTTACCGTGGTGTATTTGCCCAGCTGGCACAGGGAGGGGAAGGTTTCCTGATGGGCCTTCCTAACCCGCTCGAACAGGCATATAGAAATACATTCCTTGCAGTATTTCCAGAGAGGAAAAGAGCTGAATAAAAAAAACGAGTGCTTTGATGTGACAGTTCAAAAAGAGCTTTAGGTAAGAGAGTCTCAATTGCTAAACAAGCAGAAAAAGAGGGAAAACTCCAAGGATGTGATTCTCTGAGGTCTTTCTGTGACACTGAAAACGTATTCACCTGCCTTAAAAATACAGAGTAAACTACACAATAGTAGAAAAGTCATAAAGGAAAAAAAAAAACCCCACTGTGAATATTTAGTGGCATTATACATGCATCCAATATACAAGTGTTTAGCAACAAAAGACTGGTAACTCACAGACTAGCTCATTATACAAACACACCAACGCAAGAAAAGTGCCATCAACAAGATTTTGAAAACGCCTTTTACCTTTTGGCTTTGACGTCAATGTAAACATAAATGTGAACAATACACCAAAACAACATTAACAGTGTTTACATGCAGAGCAAGATCAAGATAACAGGAAAAATTAGGTTTTGCATAAAACCAATAGTGACCTACCCCTGAAAAAAACTGTTTAAGGCATTCAGTACTACTAAAAAATCAGTAAGATTTAAAGGTTTAAATTCAAATGAATGTATTTGAACTTTCTATTCAAAGAATCCTAAAAAGCACAACTGTTTTCAACATTAATACATGTTTCTTGAGCAGCAAATCAGCATATTAAATTGACGTCTGAAGGATCATGTGACACTGAAAACTGCTGATGATTCAGCTTTGCCATCAAATAATATTTTACAATATATTAAGGGATAACTTATTTTGAAATGCATCAATATTCCACAATTTTATTGTTTTTTACTGTATTATTGATTAAATGTAACTTTGGTAAGCATGAGATTTTGAAAACATGTACAGCTATGCTTTAAAATATCTTATGACCCCAAACTTTTGAACAGCAGTGTTTGTGATTTTACATGTCGTCAAGTTTTCAAAGATGAAGTGTGTCATTTCAGCACCAATTGCAACCACATTTAGGACAATAAAGCCCCACTTGTGCCATTGAGGGGCCAAAAATATAGTTCCATGTCAATCTCATGCCATCGGTTGAATCCACATTTCTGTATCGAGATGGTCGGGTTGCTGAAACAATCAATCTTTTGATAGTATCCCAGTATTTACGCTTTTCAGGGAAATCTGTGAGGTATAAGTGGTTTAATTAGTTGTTTTTGCACATTAAACTAGGATGATAAAATATTAATGACACTGAAGAATTGCAAACTTCACTGGTAAAAATAATCAATGTAAGATCGTGCATGTAAACACACTCATTGTGTTTCATCTCACACACACACACACACACAGAGATGTGCTGATGGTTTGTAGCGTGCAGAGATGAGAAATGAATGTTGGTGGTTGTTAATAACGGTGACAAACGACCTCTGCTTTCACTAAAATTCAACCTAATCTAATCACGTCACATGACAAATATCAGCCCGCTTTAAAGAGCTTTAAACGGGCTCTCCCTCTGCGCCTGCATTCCGCCCTCTTTTCCTTCTTCCCGCTCTCCGTCTCTCTGTTTTCCTGGAACCTCGCAATCTCTCGGTTTTCTTGTTCTCACAGCCTCAATCACTCCTTTATCTCATGTTTTCTTGCTGTTTTTGGTTAGGACTCCTTCCTTTGTCTAAAGATAACTCCACGGCTCTTCTTCTCCCTCCTCCACACACACGCAGGGGAGCGAGCGAGAGGGTGGTAAAGATGATTCTCCCTCACTTCTCCCCACAGCCACATATTCATTTCTCCAGAGGGAGCTGGATGCCAGCGTGGGCTCAGAAAACACAATCTAATGGAGCCATTAAAGAACTATTAACGCAGGGAGGTAATCTTTCACGACACGACATGTGTGAAAAGACAAAACCTGCTTGCAAACAACTTTATGATGACAAGAGCGCGCCATCATATCCGGGCGGAGAGAATGAAATATGTAAAATAACAAATCTGGGGCAGAGATTTCATGATAGAAAAAGCAAACTATAGTTCAGAACAGCACAGAAAGAAAAGTGTACGCACTTTCATTCTAATAACAGAACAAAAGTACATACAAATCCTTATTTCCTCTTAAAGGCAAAAGCAATTAAATTACGTCCTACTGCAACAGATCAGATCATCAGATAAAGCAATAATAATGCGCTACTGTATGACTTGGAGAAAACAATTAATAAAAAATTTAGCTGATATTCATCATGATATTCATTTGTCCTAGCACAAAAACACATCTAACAAAACAGCATACCTTCTCATTATATGCTTGTACACAAGCCTGTCACACAAACATGCTTTAACATCACTATAAAATATGACAATAACCAGTGTGCTTTAAATAATGCTGGCAAATGTCATTTCACTGGTCATCCGTGCAGAGCACTTCAGCACTCTGTCCAGTAGGTGGTGACAGCAGGACCAGAGAGACAAATGTCTGACAAGAGGCCTTCCTAGCATAGTGTACTAAACATATGCTGTAGTACGCAGTCCTGGTTAAATAAAGTTGAACAAATAGTATAATTGCAATACAAGTCTCTGATGCTCACCAAAGCTGCATTTATTTGATCAAAAATAGTGAAAACAGCAATATTGTGAAATATTATTACAATTTAAAATTACTTGAATACATTTTCAAAGGTTTTTAATACATTTTCTTCAGTGTCACATGATCCTTCAGAATGCATTCTAATATGCTGATTTGTTGGTCAAGAAACATTTCTTATTAACAATGAAGACAAAAAACAAAAATATAATAAGGATGCAGTACTTTAAATACTGTACTGTAAATTTCAGATAATATTTTAAACATTAAATTTTTTTTTACACTTTAAATGGGCCTTTACACATAAGAATGTATATAGGTGCCTTTATATGTTAGAAAGGGAGTTTCTCACAAGGGGACCATCATATTTGGGGGTACCGTGGTACCAAAACGTTAGTACTGTACACTAATAAGTGTGCACAGTAAGTCTCAACACCCTTTGACAAATGAGTTTCCATGACTTGTCCAGTCATTCATGATTAAGGGACTTTTAGTGCATGTAGTATAGCAACAAAGACACTTACATTCTTTAGACATGCCCACTTCCAGGCACTTCTGCAGCCGGCAGTACTGGCAGCGGTTTCGGGTGACCTTGTTGATGATACAGCTCTTCTCTCTGTGGCAGGTGTACACCATGTTCTTCTGAATGCTCCTTCGGAAAAAGCCCTGAGGAGAAAAGCAAACACAGAGGTTTACTATAGCTGGAAGGTTTACAAATGACACACACGCAAGCGAATTAACACCAGCCCCCAGAAGTCGACAAGACTGAGGAAGAACGGTTATATAAAGTCACTAATGATTCACCAGATATTCATATATTCACATTATGCATATCGTTACTATACACAAACATGTGAAAACACGAATAAACAACCATGGCATAGATACAGCTCTCACACACATTATTTTTTGGCATAATGGCCGGCTGAGCTCGGTTTAGATTCGGCTGTATTATGGCTGCTGGGTATTATCTCCCAGTTCAAGTGCCCAGAGGTTCCTATTGGCTAATACCCAGCGGGGCTTAACCCACATAGACTCAAGCGAAGGGATGCAAATGAGAGATTCACATTATTCTCCTGATCTTAATTACTGCTTGGTCAGACTCTCGAGGACCGAGAGTCAGTCCGAGGTCACAAACGGACACGGCAAAAGCTGGAAAGATGCAGCTGAAGCCACATACGATCAGAGAGCAGATGCCAAACAGTGATTGCGTAGGCTTGTGGAAGGGATTTCAGCTGCTGTGCTGCAACCACGGCTCTCTGGCTGAGGATTAAACCGTGAAAGCTTCCCTCGTGACTGCCGCTGGGCACGTGGGTATCAGCGGCGCTCTGCAGGATTCACTGACTGGGCTGAGCAGGAACACAGTATTTGGGTTCAATGCTTCAGTGTGAACACGTAATAGAAATAAGATCTGGAGTTACTCCGTGTTGCAGATTCATACCTGACAAATTAGGAGAATACATTTGATAAAATCCACATTCACAGGTTATTAAAAGGGATAAATACAGAGCTGGGTAGATTACTTACAAATTGTGGTAAATTACTGATCACAGATTACATGAAGAAAACTGTAATTAGTAGCGTAATCTAGGTTACTCATTTTAGGTAATGTATTCTGACTAGTTTTTAAGATGACTTTTAGATAAACAAACTTGTTTTAAATATACCATTAAATGTACCATATTGATATTGAAAAAAACTAAGAGAAAGAAAATAAATTCCTTGAAATATTTCCTTCTTTCCTGGCTTTGTGAATATAGTCAAAGACAAATGGTATGACACACAATAGGATGTTTAGAAAAGAAAATTTAAAAGAGGAAAAAAAGAGGAATTAGGGAGAATCAATAAATTATGAATAATTTACTGACATTGTGTGAATAATATGTAATCATGTTATCAATAATAAGTAACTGTAATCTGCATTTTAAAATGTAATACCTTAATATAAAAAAAAATCTAATATATACCCTTCAAGTACTTAATTTTTGCAATCTGATTACACAATCTAGATTACATGTAATCAGTTACTGGATACATAATACTAAAAGTGAATTTAGGCATTACAACAAAGTAGGAAAAAATTTTTTTTTTGAGAATTGCTAAAGATCGCTAAACATTAAATTATTTATTAAATTGATATTTTTAAAGACCAAATAAGCGTTCAATGGTGAAAAAGGTAAATCTATATATAATAATAGGGGAAGAGTATGCACAATTAAATAACCAAAATTTACAAAAAAAACAAAAACACTAACACTCACTGATAAGTGATACATTCTGCTATGATTGGTGCTATGTTGGTATGATTATCTAACTACACATGAACGGTATCTAAATGTGCATCCTAGTCATGCTACTGTTTTCAAAGCAAGCCTACAGTAAAAACATTGTCCCTCATTGTTTAGAAACAATAATCCCAAAGGCTTTTACTGGAAAAGCCTTCAACATATCAGTCAGGCCACCCAAGGAAGCTTTTAGTATGTGTGTGCTTTTGACAGGTCTGTACAGTGGCTGAGAAATGAATGGCCACCTAGTCTAGTAACAGCGTTACTGGAGCGTGTGTCCAAGGACATGTCCCGCATGCTGAAAGGACATGTTCCTCTCACACTCGGTCTCAGCTATGAAAAAGTAATAAAGGAAAAGGTGAGCATGGCAGATGTGTGACAGAATGTGTGCTCGCCTCGCCGAAATGGTTTTCTAATGCGCTGCCCAGAGGCCTGATCTCCCTACAGAGGAGCTCTCATTCATCGGGCATGTTTTATTCATGCCAGCTCTGATCTTCTGGAGGTCATTGTTGGTGGTCATTGTGGTAGATGCAGATGAAACGCTTCTTCCTGGACCAGTATCAGCAGGCCAGTCACTGCTGTAGACGCAATACATGAAGTTGCATGCTGCTTCTTGCACATTTCCTTTTTCAGTGGGCAGCAATTTTTCTTGCACTGTTTCAAAACTCAACCAACCACTTATATAATAGAAGCAATACATTTAAATTGACTTTGCACAGACTTCATAAAAAAATGTAGCACAATTCAGCTGAAAATAAAGCATTAAGTCTACACTGCCTCACAAAATGTGTTTACATCAGTAGCCAAATATCCCATGAATCCTGAGCGAAGGTACAGCCGACAGCCGTCTCACCTGGAGAGCTGATTCATTGATAACAAACCCATGACAAAAGTCACACCAGTCCACAATCAAAAGGCCTCTTTTCCTCGTCCTGCTTCACTCGCTCTGCGCCAATGTTGGTCAGGCCTGAAAGCCACAGGAATGAAGCTCAATATCATCACAAGGTGTGAAGAATGCTCTGGCAACAGAGGGGCAGCTGGGTAATTCCACTGGATTAGGGGCTGCAGCAGTGGCCCATTGAGAGGAGGAAAGGGTAATAGCTGCTGAAAATTCAGCTTTGTCATAAGAATAAATTACTGTTTAAAATATATTTAAATAGAAAAGTTATTCAAAATTGTAACAGTATTTAATTACATGTAACAGTATTATTTTCGATTACATAAATGCAGCATTTGTGAGCATAAGAGGCGTCTTTCAAAAACTTGAAACTATTTTAAATATTTCAGTATAAAGTATTTCAATTCAGTGAATAATGCATTTAATGTTTTAATCTAATTATTAAAGAAAACAATCAATTAAGAACAAATAAATTAAGAGCAGTGAGTTGCTTTCACTTTTTATTGGCAATATCAACAATAATAGAGAGCGTCAGATCTAGGCAGCATTTACATGGCACAGATTCAATATTTTGAAATAGATCTAATTTTTTTGTCCCAGCTGTTTACATTTGCAAAACAACATAAAAGTCCCTTAACGCAAGTCATTTCACTCTGTGGCCATTTTTGAAATGCCTCTCGGGCATTCATGTGCAGCTCCTATCTCTTTGAACAGGGAAACCATAAATGTTGTTTCATATGATAAAACAGTGTTAAAAAACTTATTTTTCAGTCTAGGCAAACCAACATGCATATATAGTCCTAAGCGCGCTTCTCAAAGCTTCTAACAGCAGCTGCAGTGATGCGATGACTTTATCAATTGCCGATTGGCTCTTTTATTGAGAAGGCGGGACTATTACACCACTATAAGCCACCGCTCATCAAACAGATGGTGTTCGGAAGGCAAAATCGATTGGTACTTGATACAAGAAATCCTTGTTACTTTAATCAACCTTGATTAATAATAATAAAAAAGTTTTATCCAGATTTAAATTAAGAATATAAAGTGTTGTCTGAGAGACATGGATACGAAAGCGTAGAAGCAGACATGGATGACGAGGTAGAGGACATAATGGATCTGTGGCTGATCTGTGATCCTAATCTCTCACTAGGCATCTCCTGACCTCTGCGAACCCTGGATTGACCCAGTCCTGACCTGCCAGGCAGATCCTGTGAGCGGAATGCAGCAGAGGAGGGCAGGAAGGAAACGTTTTGAGGTCTGCTGTGGCTCTCACTGGCAGGAGCGCTAAGCCTCTTTAGTGTCTCCACTAATCGTGGACATGAGTACAAACCCCCAGGCACACTGAGACAACGGAGGAGCAGTCGTGTGTTTGTGTTTGTGTGAAACGTGCAGTCTATTTCAAATGGATTTGGAGCGAAGAGACCATGAGATCAAAATAAGGCCGTCTGTCTGTTTAGTGTGACTAAGTGGTTAAGCGTATGATAGTTATTTGTGCTTAGTAGCCATGAAGATTTAAACCAGCAGCCGTTAAAAAAATTAGTGAGCTGCCTACCTAGGGAATATTTGAGATGTGCTTCAGATGTAACGCTTGTCCCAAATGGTAAACAGCAAAAGTATGCAGCATGTCATCACATGGAATTTACTTTGAAAGTATGCGTGTTTAGCATACGACAAACATTCACATCAAAATTGAAGTATACTTTGGCCTAAAGCGACCAGACGTGCAACTTCCTGGGGACACGTTCTGCCCAGGATTTCTAAATTGCGTGGTTAAAATAACCAGGTGTTTGTTGTTTGCGCTGCGCCAATCGATCTTTGTATGACATCAAAATATTGCGAGAGCTATAAAGCAGAGTAGACGGTTCCATTCTTTCGAATCGCTCTCGCGGTATTTTGATGTCATACAACGATCGATTAGAGCAGCGCAAACAACCAACACCTGGTTATTTTAGGCAATTTAGAAATCCTGGGCAGAACGTGTCACCAGGAAGTGGCACGTCTGGTCACCTTACTTTGGGCATAACTAGTGTGCTAGGCAGCAGTCAGCACACTAGAGTTTGGAGTACAGCTAATGTACCAAAAACGCAAAGGTTGATCGTTCTCACACATAGCCACAGAAAACAAGACACAATGATTGAAAAAGACAATATTTAAAGGAGGATTGTTGCAGAATTTCATTTACAAACAACTAAAGTGACAGTGTTACATCTAATACTATTTAATTTAACCTGGTTAATCCAATTCTATTGATGGATCAGAGAACACTTGTTTAGTGTGGCTTACGTAGGATTTGGTGTTGCTGAAACATTGAGATTCATCAACTGTTTTTGAATCAAAAATCTAATTTTCAAATCGGTCCCTAATAAGTCTGTTTCAACCACCTTTGATAAAATTAGGGATGCACGATATTGGATTTTTGCCAATATCCGATATGCCGATATATAATTATTTTTAATTTTGGTTAGTTTTTAACAAGAACTTATTTGTTAGAATTAAATAAACAAAGTTTTTTTTATAATGACAGTACATTGAAGATTTGAAAATAACAATACAAACTATACATCACTGCATTTTTTCCCCCGGAAAGATGCAGTGGTAACCTTAACATTTTATATTATGATTTAACATTTGTAAACTGTCTAAAGCAAAAGAGTTGTAAAAATTCTAAAAATCTTTTAGAGCTCATCATTTGTTTAAAAAATATAACATATTACACATTATTGTAATAACCAGTATATATAAAATTATTTAATTTAATGTCATGTTTGTGATTTATTTTTTTTGTTCATGCAAGCTATAGCTTCTGACCTTTAAATCAAAACATGCTCATGATTTTATAGCATCAATTACAATCACAGTCTAAACATTATTTTTGTATTTTGCTTTAATTTTATTAGAAGTAGGCCAACAGCGCCCCGTACGGAATTAAAACTCCTTACTGAGCGGGCTTTAGGATCCGGGGGAGGCTGCCGCTGCTGCACGTGCTATTACTGTTGACTATCATACACCGATCGAGTCATTCTGTACGTGCATTCTCAGTTTAAATACAGCGATCCAAAACAGTGAATCTAATCACCATTCAGGCAAAACTTTGCTTCAAGAATGAGCCACAATGCTGACGTGATCTAATCGCTAGCACACCCTGAGCACGTGAGTTAATGTATTCCTCTTATCGGCAAGACATATTGGCATAATTTTTCATATCGGGCCGATGCCGATATTTACATTTAAAGTCATTATCGGCCAATTCCGATATTGGTCCGATAATATCGTGCATCCCTAGTTAAAATGGTTGCTACATGGACGGTTACCTTCCATGTTGACTATAACACAGCCTTGCAAAAAAACAGAAATGCAAAAAACTGACTTAAGGACATATAGCCCAAATGCTGACTCCTCTCTTTGTTCATCTCAAAGCAGACAAGGCTGTAGGGGCGAGAGGAGGAGAGTGACGGGTGCTTTTTGAAGGGAAAGACGAGTGCAGATATGTCCTCCCACCATTCAAAGGCAGCGAGAAAGGGAGAAGATAGCACATGCAAATTTAATGAAGTCATGTTTATTTCTCAGCGAGCAGCACCGTGTGTTCTCCACCCACGCTTCCCTGCGGCTGCGCTCAGATAAGGGGGCTTTGTAACTATCATAGTTCAACTCCAAACCCCTGTGTTTCTCTTTCTCAGGGAGACACTGTGTAGATCATGCATTGTATACACTACCAGTCTTCAATTATTAAGTAGCACTGAAATAAAAGGCTAGAGTTCTCCGCTGTGCCAATGGGGTCTCCCCCCCCCAGTAAACGTCAGTACAGGAGGCTGTCACCAGCGGCAGTGCTAGAAAACACCCATGGGATGACTAAAACCCAAAACATAATTTGCATAAAAGGATAACAACAGCAGTAAGTGATATGTGTTTGTGTGTATGTGTGAATTTTGGAATTCACAATCTATTGGTACAATATTACTACCCGATTCATTTAGTGATAAATAGTAATAACTCAAATTACCACATTGTTTAATTTGCTGACTCCCTTTAATATCAATAAATAAATCTGATACAATGCCCAAATTCAGAGATTCACGTTTCAAAAGATAAAAACAGTGGCCCCAAAAAGTATTTGGATACTTAATGGCTGAATGCCTTTGCATTAACAAAATATCAAAAACAAGTGTCACTTATTTTAAAGAAATACAGCCCAAAAAACCTTTAAGCCACTTGAATTATAAAATAACAGACATACTTGACTATACATATGTAACTGACTGGCCCAAAATGGCCATTAGTTAGTATATTTCTTTGCAAATGCCACTATGATAGTGACTACGTTTAAATGGACATCAGTAATCTAATTATTTACCTTATTCTGAATAAGGCAATATTATGATTAAGGTGTTTACATGAGTTGCTTTTACATGTTATAGTACATAGATCGATTAATGACACACGCCATTACATACCCACGCGATGCCATCCGAAGTCCCCTCCAGAATTTCACTTATAAACATAGTTCGTCTTCGTTATGATGCCATATACAGTTTTGGGTGTTTCATTTTTAATTTTACGAAAGCTTCAAGTGCAGTTAATTATTTGTAATGCTATACGTGCAAACAGACGACAGTGTTGTTGAAGCCATGCTCTTTTGTTTGCCATCAAACGCTTGACCACTGCCGTGTGTATCCTGTCGCAAAATGCGGCGAAAAGTCCTACACGACGGTAATAGTGTGATTAAGGAGTTTACATGTCTATACTGCACTTCGATAATGCGACTAAAATAGGAATACTCCACATGTCTTGATTCGATTTGGGTTTACTTCGAGTATGACTTTAACTAGATTAAGGTAATCCAAAATCTGTTTACATAGATTCTTAAACAGAGAATTATCTTAATCGTGTTCAAAACGGAACATTGTTGTCCATGTAAACATACTGATTGTGTTACTAAAGCATCCAAAAACTTTGAGGCCTCAATCCTGCAAATTGGGACGGGATAGATTCTTACCTTGCACCCTTCACATGCACTAACTCCATAATGGTAGCCTGAGGACTTGTCCTGGCAGACGAAACAGGGCTTGTAGACCCGTGGTGGAGGAGGTGGAGAAGGTGGGCTTGGTACGATCTCCTCTGAGCTTGTGCTCTGGGTCTCCACAGCTACAAGAGAACAGAAACAGCCTTTAGTTTGACTCATTAACGCACCATAATTTCCTTATGAGGGTAGGGCTGTCGCGGTGAGGCAATTTCCCTTGCGGTAATTTTGAGTGGCTCAATACGCGGTATGAGGTATTATCGCCATACATATACATATATATATATATATATATATACCTCTGCGGTTTGCTCGTCAATAGCGCGGTATTGCGATATTGCGGTTATTGCGACAGCCCTACATAAGGGTTACTAGGATCCTTTGAGAAAACTGCACTTGGTGTTTTAGCAACAGTCTGCAGTAACCTTCAACCTTCAAAAGATCCCTCCGCTCCCCAGGAAGGCTCAGCGAGGGAGCGCTTGTGCATCCCGATGAGCAGCTAAGGTCAAGCTTGTCAGGAGAACGTCTCCATTCCTGGAGCGAGCAGACAAATAGGCTGGTGCCACGCTCTCCTTACACATTCGCTCTTGCTTTCCTCCCGGTTTCAGCTGCTACCGACTGGGACGAGTGCCAGCCTTAATTAATAAAGTCATGACAGTCAGCCGGGGTGTGGAGGGAGAAGCTGCACGCTGTGCTTGAGTGGAGGGGGCGCCCGAGCCGCACGGCACCGTCAAAGAGCTGCCATGACCGAGAGCTTATGAATCAACTGCCATTTAAACAGCACACCATGAGGGAAACCCACAACGTCCTCTCCACACGTCAAGGGCACAAAATGACAAGCACTCTGAATTTTGAATAGCTGAAATTCTCCACGTCGCTGATGTTTCCCTGTATGAATATGCCCACATGTAAATGACCGTCTGCATGGTGGCGATGAAGGCACTGGTATATTTTCAAAACATTTATATACACAGACACATTCACTCCTCAACCCCCATGTGTCTCTCCCCCGCTGCTATCCTCTCCTTTCCTGCTGTGTCTCTCACAAATGCCATGGTGTGAAGAAAAATGAGACATGAAAACACAGGTTTCTAGTGAAGGAGAATGCGCTATTATGTGGGTGCAGTTAGCAGGTGTCAGTAATCTGAGTAATGCAGAGTCTCAGATATTGTTTCAATAACTCTAATAGATCTCGAAAAGGATCAAATCGCAGCATTAAAGGGACAATTGACAAATTAAATTGGTGTCATTTACTCGCCCTCAAGCTGTTCCAAACTTCTGCTGAACACAAAAGATGATATTTCGAAGAATGTGGGAAAGCAAACAGTTGCCGGTAACTATGGAAGTCAATGAGGACCAGAAACGGTTTCATTTAACATTTTTCTGACCCGTTCTCTCTGACCCTTTAAGAATTATTATTTTTTTGGCTACTGCAGCAACGATCAATATTTTTGGTCCGTTTTTCTCAAATAAATAAATTGGTGCACCTGCCAAATGTGAATTCTGTCAGCATTTAGGAATACACAAGCATATAGGCTACATTGTTCAAATGTTTGGAATTGGTGAGATTTTTCAGTAATAGTGACGGAGTGAAATATTACAGTTTTAAAGCATTTTTTTGTAATATTTTTTTAATGTGTAATTTATTCTTCTGACGGCAAAAACATTGTCAATTATCTTATCAATGTATCAAAAACAGTTGTGCTGCTTAATATTTTGAGGAAACCGATACTTAAAAAGTAAAAAAAAAGAACAACATTTACTTGAAATAGAAATCTTTTGTAACAACGTAAAAGCTTTCACTAACACTTTTGATCAATTTAATTTAATAAAAAAAAAAATCTTGTCATGTCTTTAAATAGAGTATCCAACACCAAATCTCTTCTGTTCAAGCAGTCAATTATGGCTGTGTGGTAGAGACAGGCTGTGAGGGGTGCTTGTGTTGTTGTTTAAGGTTTGATATGATACCTGACTCACTTAGATCAGTGTCTGAGTTCAGAGAGACAATCTACCTACAGCATAGACTCACAACGCAAACACTGGGGCCGCCAAACAAATGCCTGAATGATGAGACAATGCCCTCTTTAAGCATAAGAACACTGGTGAAATAAGTTAAACGGTGAGTTAGGTAGATCTCTCTCATCTTTGTCTATTATGAGCAGTCTAGTAGAAAACGAGGCCTCACCTTCATCACACTACACATGCACTGTTGCTGAGCCAGTGGGCAACCGTCTGCGTCTATTTCCTGTGTTCAGAAAAAGCACAGTCAAAGCTAAAAATACCCACCCTGGCACCAGCACAGAGTCAGATGAGGATGTCGAGTTCTTATCTCTTTCCACACACAGACAGCAAAGGTCCCCACAAACTCAAACACGATTCCCAGCGCATGACACAACCGACTTCAATGCAGTGTGCTGAGAGAGCTGCTTAACGGTTTTATTTAGCAAATGAGGAAAGAAAACTAGAAAAATCTCCAATAATGTGGGGAAACTACAAAAGAAAAACAGACCCATGAAGGGACAGTTATGAAGAATTACAAGCAATAATTTGGGAAATGCAGGGTTTTCCCAAATATACAGAATACACTTTCTGGCCAATTCATTTTTAGTCATTGACATTTCCAGTCAAACACTGAATAAAAATAAACGATTTACAGAAATGACACTCAAAAAGCTATTTCTTGCTAATTTGAAATAAGAGATGAGGGAATGAGAAGGAGGAAATTTGGATGTATTTTCAAGGCCTGGGAACTACAATTTTATTATTCCCTACAAGTTTCTAATAATTCCAATTCCTAATAAATTTTTTTTTTTGATGGCAGATGCTGAGATCTTAGGGGTGGCAGATGATCGATATAAAGCTGACATATCACTATTAATAGAGCCCGACCGATATGGTTTTTTTGGGGCCGATACCGATATTTGGCCCTTGAATGTAACGTGTACGTTCCCTTGGAACAGGAATCATGGCGGAATTTCATGTGAAGTTCACTTCGCAGGGTACTTACGGTCGAATAAGACAACGCTTGAATGCTGCTGCCTGAACAAGAGACCTCCTTACTGAAGTGAAAGTGTTTGGCTGGTGTCACTATCTCGCGAACGCGCCGGCGGATCTCCACCAAATTGGGGGTATCCCTTCAGCTCGAGGAGCCCTCTCGAACGCCGCCCTCCACGCGTCGGTAGCCCCCCGGGATCGCTAGACCGGTAGGCGCCGGACCGCAAATTTAACCGCCCGTAACTCCCGAACCCCGTGGGCTATCATTCGAGAGGGTTCCTTGAGCTGAAGGGATCCCCCGAATTTGGTGTCCGCCGCGCCGTTACGGAGATATGTCCGTTCAAAGTTTCAGTGGTTTTCCATAGACTTAAGCTTTAAAGCGTTTCATCCAGGTCGCCAGTAGCAAACAATGGACCACGCTCTGCTGGACAAACTAAGTAATTACACCATTTAAAGCATTTCATCCGCGTTATATGTTCTGTAAAAAACATTTTCATATCGGCGGCGTATTAGCCGATACCGATATATCGGCAACAGGCTCATATCGGCCAATAATATCGGCTAAACGATATATCGGTCGGGCTCTACTATTTAATATAAAAAAGTAAACAACATGCTGCAATAAAATTACCTTTTTTAACATCACATTTACTAAAGAAATAATTTCAAAAAATGAATCAATATGAAAAGATAACTTGATAAAACTGATTTATACTTCAGATACTGTTGTCAAAAAACTGCCGCTGTAACCCAAAAGGTCAAAAATATGTCATACTTTGTCCTTTAATGCAAATGTTTTACCATAGAAAAGGCAAAAGGCAGTAACAATGCCGTCAAACAATGTGTTCATTTAATTCATTTGTATATAAATTTGCAACATAAAAAAAAGACCCCTTATTGGAAAAACATAAAACAAAATGTTATCTCAGCACGAAACATTTGCAGATGGTACTTTAGCTTGTATTTTTCACACAAAGAGAGAACAGGAAGTGAGAAAAACTACCGGCTGGCATCACACATCCTGCTCTCACGAACACGAAGCTTCAAGAAGGTGAGATTGTTTTTACATGTCAAACAGTTGATTTCTCTCCCACAATTATTCTCACTGTTGCACTCGTTCCCTTTCACCAAATCTCACTCGCTCTTTCTATGCCATTCACTCGTTCCCTAGAGCGCCATCTGACCTCTTTCTGCTGTGCAGCTCCAACATGAGTGGCACATTTTCCATAACAGGGACAGAGCTCAACACAGCTCCAGGACAACATCATGGGAACTGCTCTTCTGACAGCAGACACTGGGGAAATGGCCAAAATTACGCCTTCATCTACTCTCACCCATACCACAATGCCTCAAACTTCCTTTAAACTCCATCTGATCAATAATAAATGGCACGTATAAAAAATTGAACGGCTGAACTGAACAGAGAAATCCCTCGCTCTTATATAAGCGAAAGTTTGAGGGTTAGAAGCTGCTTCCCTGAACCCGAATAACCGCAGAACTAGCAGCGCAAGTGGCTTCCTGTGAAGCTGTGATCAGGTGGCATGCTCTAATTACGCACTCGGTTGCATCTCTGAGGAGAAGCGTCTTAGTCATGGCTCTTGAGTTGGCCTGTAGCTCTGGAAGGAACAACCTCGCTCTGAGATCAAGTTTAATTATGCCCAGAGGTTCGACCCAGGGTAACCTTACATTAACCGCTGCAAGGCTTTCGGAAACGGTTCAGTTTCATCACCTGTCCGAGACGCCCCTCGTGCACACAGAAGACATCAGTTACCGAGGTGTTCTTTAGCTGTTTGACATCACCGCATACTTCCACTCACTTCCAAAGCTGGCAGGCTGGTTAAATCTCACATTAAAACGGCCAACTCTCTGCTCCAAAACACAGTCGGCAGGCTACCTAGACTGCATTTTAAGGCATCAAAATGTATGCAGTCTTCTAAAATACTTTGCTTTCAGTCAGCAATGCGGTTATCCTATATAAAAGAGGCAATCCCAAAAAGCATTGCAACTATGTAGGCAGCTTGCCAGGTTTTGGAGCACAGGTGTAGCCTTCAATGATCTTACGCATTCTTTTCTTATCAGTTTGTGAGGGTTTGAAATCCCAACAGGGCAAAAATGTCACCTTAGCACAATC